CATCAGGCTCAGACAGAAAGCTGTTCCAAACTAGGGACCCGGTAGAAGGTTAGTGTCATAGTTAGCTTTGTAGATGGCCTGCAAAGTACCTAAACATCAGGGACCCTTGCGGTTGAAAAAGCACACCGAACATTTGGGCGAGCGAAATTGCAAACAAGGGATCCAATCCCGACCAAAGCTTTTTCACAGTGAGATGCCCAACATGAGGCGTGGATGCGAGGGACTGCAGGGAATGTTGACCTCGGATGAATAAACTACGGCCGCGAAAAGCATTTATGTGCCTCAGACACAACACTCCTTGCGAGTGGGCTTACTAGGGGTGCTCGTTGACCCTTGTGTGAAGTTCGGCAACCAGCACAATTTTTGAAGAGAGAAAGAAGGGATCATTCAAAGACAACGCCATTCACCAGGCGCTTGTGTTTTTGGGTGTTCTCCCAAAGGTTTGGATCCTAGTGAACCAGGTGTATTGATGAGTCATTCGCCGTCCCCTAATCTCATTTTGGGCCGTTGTTTGAACCCTCGACATCCCCAGACCGTTTCTTTGTTGGCCGTTTCTGTTTCCTAAGGTGCTTCTTGGCACGTTGGCATTTTCTATCCTGGGGCTGCTCAGCTCACCACATTCCCCTTTTCAGGTCCCCTTGTTCAAGTGCTCCAACTGGTTTGGCTGGGGGCCAAAGGCAACAAGTCATAGCAAAACCACAATCAGCGACAACCACAGCTCAGGTACAATATTTAGGCAGCGAACTGTAGCCACAAGGAGCGCGCCACGGCGACCAGCGACTTGTTTCCCGTTTCCACGGTGTGCATCTGACTTTATGTTCGGAAACCAGACGTAGCAACCAAAGACCGACAGTAAATCAAACAGTAAAACGAGCAACCGCGATCCAAGCAACGGTACACCGACCGAAGTGAACCAACCGACGGCAAACCAACCCACGGAAAGCCAACCTACAGCAAACCAGCCAACAGTGAGCCAACAACAAGTAACCCAACCAACAGAAAACCAAGCAGCAGTAAACCAAGCAACGGTGCACCAACCGGCTGTAAACCAACCAACGGTAAAATAAGCAGTAGTAAACCAAACAATAAACCAATAAGCCAACAGTAAACCAACCAACAGTAAACCAACCAACAGTAAACCAACCAACTGTAAACCAACCAACAGCAAACCAACCAAGGTGAAACCAACCACCAGTAAACCAAAAACAACGTTGAATCAGCCAATTGAAAACAAGCATATACCAGCAACAGTAAACCACGCCATGGTACACCAAACAGCAGTAAACCAGCCAACAGTTGCCTTTCAAGAAAGTAAACAACCAACAGTAAGCTAACCAACTGCACACAAGCAATACACAGCCAGCATTCCAACCCACAGCAAACCAGCCAACAACGAACCAACCAGCAGTAAACCAAGAAAGCGCAAAGCCAACTCGCCGGAGGAAAAAGAAAAAAAAAAAACGCCAACTCGAAACCCGCCGCCGGACGATTCCACGGGGAGCACGCGGAATTGCGGGCATCGACCCGAGCGAGGCACAGCTGGGTCCCGCGCTGGCCGCCGCCGAGCGCGCGGGCCTAGAGCTCTTGCACCGCAGGATCCAGCGACTCGAGTGAAATCCTTGGATACGCCCAGACACCAAGCGATGAGCTGTTCTTGGCAAGCGTTTTGGTTATTGCGCTGTTGGTTCTGTTCATGTTTGGTAGGGGGCTGCAAAAAGCAAAGTTGTTTGCGACCATACCAAGGGTGGTGAAAATAGCCTTTTTCTCGTTTGGATTCCCCTTTAAATCCAACGACCAAGAAAGGTGCCCCTTTTTTTTCCATGGCCACTGCGTTTGGGGCATGGAATCACCAGAATTTTGGGATGAACAGGCAAGATCCCACAAGACATCACAAAGGATGGTTCTGATCGGGGTGCTTCCCCCATTTGCTGACAAGCACGAATGTTCAGGCTCTTGGCCCCTTCGGCTGTCGGGTCAGAACCCGTTTCGATTCGGACAGCCGCTACGGCGACTCACCAAATCACATCTAGTTTTGATTGTTTAGGGACCAGGGTGCGTTTTGAGGGAACCCTGGGGTTTTAAAGCCGAACCCGAAGGAAGGCCACTTTAAGGTTCCCCTGTTTCATACGCAGAAGGGCGGGCCACCAAAATTTCAATCGAAGAGCAAGCAGGGGAAAGACCGCCCATGCGATATCGGGGAAGCATTCGGGAGTTTGGCTCAATACCGAAGAACCTGTGTGGAATGTGTTTCCTTAAAGTTCTCAGTGTTAGACAGTTGCTTTGCTAGAGTTCCACGTTTGTGTCGGTTTTGATCTGCGTTGAAGAAATGCCACTGGTGTTGAGTCAATCCCTGGAATTCCAGATTAGTGGTTGCTCCAATTATCCTATGTGTTTGATCTAATTGTTCCCAAAGTGACAGGTGCTTCTTGAGGCATTCCATCACGGGTTTCCCTCCAAAGTTTGCCCCAGGGTGGCTTTGCTTTTTGTTTTCTTCAATTGGGGGGACATGTTGAGGTCGTTTTAGGGAGCAAGATGGGACTCTCCAAATGATTAGGTTTCAGGTGTTTCCTCGGATCCGTGCTTGCTTTGTTTTGTTCCAGGGATCCAGGATGCCCGATGCAAGGTTGGCTCCCATCGGTGAAAGTAAGTCATGCTTTAGACTGGGCATTGATCAAGAAGCTCCAAGTGGTTCCTTCTCAACGTGTGATGTTTGAACCAACACGAGGTTCCTAGTTTCAACACACGCCTGCATGCACATAGAGGCAATGGGCAGGCAAGGCAATGCAACACAATGCATTGCAATACATGCATGATTGCATTGCATTACAATACATTGGACTCCATTACATTGCATCGCATCATATTGGATGACATCGCATCACATTATATGAATGTGCCTTTGCTTTGCATTGCAATATATTACAACACATGACATGACAGGACATAGATACACCTTCTTCCTTCTTCTGCGGCGACTGTGTCGAAGAAACAAAGTAGTGTTTCACTTTGCACATTAAGGGAGACAAGGGTGCGCGAGTCACTAATAAAGAACACCCAAAGGATGCCAACTGGAAGAATCGAAGTCGTTTGTAGCAGCTGCGCCATGATTGCATTGCCCCTAAGCTGATGCATACCAAGACTATGAGGATACATGATCTCACCCATAATGAAAGATGTTTCTGGGGAGTGCCCCTTTTGTTCCAGTTCTGGAGTTTTTAGTAGGCTTTGAAGATTACTTTGCATTGTTGTCAGAGTACCTCACACTGATTGAGAAGGTGTGGATGTGGCTTGAAGTGGTTTTGTTGCTGGATCTTGCGGTATGCTTCTTGTTTGCCCCCTTTTGTGGGCTTACATACCTATTCGGCTCAATATTGGCTAAGCCGCGTCAAAGGCGCAGTGAACGCCTCCGAACTGGAGAGCACAAGCCAGCTGAGATCCCGTCAAGGACATAAGGGCCGCTGTTTTACCCATTGAGCTAGCAAGCCAAATAAGTACACTCAGAAGATCATGGAACCCAGGTCAACCTCGTTTGAGGACACCTTTTGGCTTGGGACACTCTGCGGAAATCCACTTTTTACTTTGCACGGGAGTAGTCTTTTGCTAGGATTATCTATCACCAGTCAAGGGCAAAACACAGGTTTTGATGTTCCTTGCCATTAACTAGCACATTGTCCCAACTTAGTTCGTTTGCTTTCCTAGCGGCGCTAACCATTCAATGGACCCTGAATGCGTTCTAATAAGCGGGTTCCATTCTGCAGCAAGAGACAGACATGTGCGCAGCATCCTAGAACCCATTTGGTGACAACCCCTTTCAAAGGCTCAAACCATCCCCTTGTTTTTGTTAGCGAGCCCCAAAAAAACCTCGGGGCCCTTAGCAATGAATCGGTTACAACAAATTCTCAGCTGGGTTGCCACAGGTTGTCCGTGGTCCTTTCATGGGTCCTTCATGGGTTGTTTGCCGCCCGGAGACTCCACTCCTTGACGGCGAGCTCCGCGAGCCAGCGTGCAAAAAGCGCCAGAAAGGAAAACGGGGCGAGCGCGGATTGCAGAACTTTCGGTTTCTGGGGTCTCCAAGGCTATTTATGGGGTCGACGTATGTGAAATGTGAAGAATGCTCTGAGCTGTGGTTGCCAAGGTTTGGGCTCGTTGTTTGTCTTTTCCTGTCCATCTCCAGGGGTGTGTGTTTTTGTAGGAAGCCTTTTTTGGGGTCCAATTCCAGGGAAACCAAAGGAAACCGTTGCCACGTTGGTTCTCGTTTGAGGAAAACCCGAAGTGTTGGCAGATTGTGCAAAACAAAGGGACCCTCTTGGGGTGTTGGCAGGGAAGCTAAAAGAAAACTAACGAATTCCAGGGGTCCAACCCCTATTTCAGGGCACACGTGGGTGTGTCTTTTGGTTCCCATGTCCGAGCAAAAGCAAAGAACACTATGGCCATGTTGGGCTCCGAATCCCTATTTTGACACATACCCATGTGTCCGTATGTGTTAGCTCTCCGGCACTAGAGTCTGAAGGATTAAAGTGGGAAAAATCATCTCGAGGGGTCCATCGGGTCCATTTCCCATGGACACACATCCAGGTGGTCCCACATACACCCACGACCGCCATGTCCCACAGTCTTTTTTAGACCCACAAAATGGCGGTTGCCCTTTTGGCGTCTCTTCAAAATCACCAAAACCTATTCTGCAGGAAATGCTAGGTTACAACAAAGGCCTGGCCACTCTCCACGAAACTTGAAGCAACTTACTAAACCAACCTACTTACTAACCCATGTGAAGCAACTTGAAGCAAAACTTGAAACTGGAGCACGGGAGCTCTTACAAAAAGATTATGTTTAATCACATTCTGTGTTCAGGTCAAGCGTGAGCGGTTTTTCTTTGAGAATAAGCTTCAATTAGCTTACGATCCTTCTTATTTCCCCCTGTTGTTTGTTCAAGGAGACTTCAGCGAATGGAAGCATGGGAGGCTTGCGCCCGAGCAAATAGACTCGCCAATGTGTCCCAGGAGGTCTCAGCGTGGCGCTTCGACCGCCTCTGAGCTGGCACGGAGGTCCCAGTGGGCTCCAGCCTCAGACTTTTGGGCTGGCCGCCTTGAGGTCCAAAATCTGTCAGAGGTCCTTAAAATCATGCATTTCAGGAGTTACTGACATACCGTTTACCATCAAATTTATGTTTTAGCAATCCAAACTCGCAATGAGTCCTTCCTGATGCTTTGGGCTTGGATCTGTTTTGGGGGGCTTCCCCTTTTTTGGTGAGAGGAAGCGGCTTCCGTTTCGATGGGCTTGGATTCCTCTCACCTCGCGGTTTCTCTGCGCCGAAACTTGGGTCCGTGCCAAAAAGAGTGTTCCCCCTCTTGGTAAACCCACAGAGGGTGTTTCACTCTCACGTTGGTCCATGTGAAGCGAGGCTGCTAGAAGGTGGCAAATCGGGTTTGTCCAGATCCTTTGGACAAGTGAGTTAAACATCACCTGGGCCGTGCATCATTCACAAAAAAATGTTGAGGGAGCCAGCTTATGTTGAGCTTCTGAACTTCAGACGTGTTGGAACAATCTTCTCAGACTTGTTCTGACCAATCCATTCAGGAAGTCAGTTTTACATTTGTTGGACCGCGTTGGCATCCTTTCACACCCACTTCGATTCCCGCCAATTGGGGCGTATGCTGGCACACTTAAATTTATCAACTTATTCGGGGTCGGTGATTTGAAAACCCTGACATAAAGATACTCCTGGTGTGAGAAATTGAGTATACTACAGATATGGAGAGCCCTGATCCTGTTTGAAATGCGAGGACAGATGCAACTGAGGGTTCATATCCATTCTGACAGAGCTGAGCCTCGGCCTATGCCGTTGACCTTTTGTTTTTCAGGCGAAACCTTGCCAACTCTAGGACCAAGTTACCCCAGCAACATGTCTTCTTGTTGGGAGGTCTGTTTCTCTGCACAAACTCCACGGACATAAAAACAAAGCATGTCCGTTTTTGCCATGGGACTGGGCAAGTAAGTGGGGTGTGGACGGGTTGGTTGTCGGTTGTTACTGTCAGCAGCAATAGGTGGGTGAATCAACTTAACTAACTTAACCGTATTGCAGAAAGGGGCCTTTCCGTTTCCACAACCATTTGAGTATCGTTGCACAGGCTTAGTTTGGCTTAACTCTCAGTTGCCAGGCTTTGATCCAAACCGAATGCCCAAGAGGCAAAAAGTTTTGAGGCCCCAAACCCACCCAAAAGAATCGAGCCTTGCTATTTTTTGTTGTGAGCTTTTTGTGGGTTGTTCTCTGCTTGGCGCTGCTGGGCCTAACGAGAGGACCAAAATGATCTCCCTTTGTTTCCTTGGCCAGTTTCACCCTCGGGTCTTGCTCGCTTCCTTTTGCCCGAGTTTAGGAGCACGCCCTTACCGTCCTGACCAGGAAGCTGGGAGCCCAATGAGATGTGCCCTCTGGATGTCGCTAAAACAAGAACCCGAATACCCCGTGTGTCAAAGGAGAACAAGGGACATGCGGTAGTGCATGTGTCCGTATTGATTTTTGGACCTGTGCAAAAATTTGCACGATGTGTTGTGGTTGATTTGAGGCATGTGTGTAAAGGATTGTCTTTTCTGCTGTTCCATTCCATTCCTGTGTTTCCCAAACAAATCTCGAGGAAACCAAAGAGACAAGCAACTGAAACAAAAGGACCAAAAAACTCAGACAGTCTTTCCATTGGATCAAGCCTGCCCAAAACGCAAGCAACAAAACCAAAACAAGAAAAACAACAACACTAACAAAAAGTCATCTGAAAACCTTTTTTTAGAAGTAGTCTGTCACTGTGCCTGCCAAGAGTTCTGGGAGAATGTGTTTGTTTTGTTTTGTTGTTATTTTTTCTCGAGGTTGTTTTTGTTTGTTTTTCAACAGGGCTGATCCAGTGGATTTGGTTTCATGTGGTTGGGGACAAACCCACGTACCTCGGGCAAGGTATCTCACCGTGGCATCTCAAACGCGACGGGGTCCAAACCCGATTGTTGGCGTCCCCCTGGTTTTCGTCCAAATGGGGCCTTAGGGGGTGATTTGGGGAGACAAGCGGGGGTGAAGAGGAGGGGTTAAATCTGAAGATTCAAGGCCAGTTCTGCTTGCTTTTCTTCATGCTCCGAGCTTTGACCAACCCTCAAGCGACAGTTGGCAAACGATGTCCTTTGGTTTCCCTTCAGGAGCAATTTTCAATTCTTGGCAACCCTTGGTCAAACTGTTTGTTTGTCAAGCCCAGCAAGCCCCAATAGTAACCAATAGCCATGGTTTAATTCTAAACAAGGTCACGGCGTTGCTAATGACCACGCTGCTTTTGACCATGGCGACCAAGCACGTTTACCAAAATTCCTGCGTTTTATGAACATTTCGTTGCATCGTTGACACGCGCCATGTTTATGTTGTTCCATTTTTACCATGGCTTTGACAAGAAAGGGCCACATCGCCTGAGAATAGCAGCACTTCGCGCTGCTGGCCAACACACGCGCGTTTCTTGAGGCTGCCGGCCTCTTTTTTCAAGGCAACTTCTCAAAGCTCGCGAGCGAGCCGCCTTCATCTGTTTCCAAGTCATACATGGCCGGACATTGTGGCCTCGCCACACTGGCTTGAGGATGGTGCAGAAGTGAAGTTGATGACCAACAAACGTCGGGATAGAACAAAACAGGCAGCACGCAAAGCCGGGGTAAGCGGGGAGCGGGAGCGCGAGAGCGTCAGCCAGGCAGCGCGAAGACGCGGCAGTGCGGCAGGTAACCGACACCAGGACAAAGGGCTTCGAGCAGATATCGCACCAACAGATGCCGCAAAATGCGCGAAAGGATCAGACGAACTACCAGCGATAACTTCAAAGTGAGCGTCCAACAAGAACGGATCACACGTCCAAAATGCCTGGAACCACGAGTCAACAATGGGGCAGGGTGCACACGCGACACGCAGCAGCAGAACGTACGCAACACAAAGAGCGAGAACAAAATGATGACCCATGGTCCTGGAGCCAAAGGTCGGGCCAGTCAATGCCTCAGGGGTGAAAGACGCATCTGCAGCAGTTGAGCGGGTGTGCTTATCATGCCCCCCCACCCCCCCCCCCAGAACCATGTTATTTTGTAAGCCGGTAAAAGAGCAGGCTGGTCTGCAGCAGTTGAGCGGGTGTGCTTATCATACCCCCCCACCCACCCCCCCTCCCCCCCGCCCACCCATCGCCCCCCGAACCATGATGCATGAACACAGGGATGAACGTCCAAAAACAAAGAACTCCACGGGGTCGTTAAGGACGTCGTGAGCCTAAACAAGGTTATTTATCTAGTGTCCCCAAAATGAAACGAACCTGGCATCTGCATGTGTTGTTGTATCTCTTTTTGTTTCCTGTTTTTTCCCCTTTTTTTCCGCAGACCCTACTTAGCACGAGTGCTCACCAAAACAAAAGACGCCAAGATGGGATGGCACCGCCGAGGCCCAAGCGCGATGGAGCAAAGGCGTCCAGCGCCGCCATCAGCGCGGCCGGGGGATCCAGCCATTGGCATGCGGCCGTCTTGCTGTGGCGAGGACCGAAGCGTCGACGCTTCGGTCTCAGCGGAGCCGGCCTTGCAAATTATTGGTGATATATATATATATGTTTCTTGGGGGTTATTTGTTTTCATTTGCTGAATTTTGAATACATAGGTGTCCTTTTTGGTTGTTTTGGTAGAAAAATAGATGGCGATTCCTGGTCTACCTAGTGGTTTAATCATCTACCAGGGCCATCTATTTCCCCTAAAAGGACGCCTATCAACGCATGGTTTCTCTTTGAACTGGACTAACCAGGTTTCCATAGTTGTTCCGACACGCAACATGAGCCTGTTGGTTCAGCCCGCTGTTCAGACGCCGCAACATGAGACTCTCTGATTTGTTTCCATCCGTCCCTGAGCCCTTGAAAGCATGCCTCAAAAAGCTGTCAACTTGGCGCAAGCCGCCCGGCGTTTGTTTCAAAGCGGGAATCCCTAAATGAGTGGTTGCCCTTGGGTCTCCCTTTGCATGTTTACAGCACTCAAGCAGAAAGTCGCCCTGCTGGATGATGATGACTCACCTTTTGAGCCAACTTGGCGAATGTCTGGTTGGTGCCCAAGAGGCTCGACTACTCACGACGCGGGAAAGCCGAAGGATCGAAAACCGGATGTGATGTCCACCAGGCAAACACCAGCAAAAGTCATTTGTCCCTATCCCACGCAAAGGACCTTTACATCGCTTTGTCTCGAAATAGAGAACCCCACAAAATGGCGAGGGTCTCCCTTTGATTTCCTTTAACGCAAACCAAAATGACGAACCCCAGCCCGAACCCAAAAGTCGGACCCGGCCATTCGTCCCCCGGCGCGTCCGTCTCGCGCGCACGTCAGGCCTCGGAGGCTGCGGCAACGCAGCGCTGGCGGCGCTGGGCCGCGGCCTGCAGTGGGCCCAAGCCTTGCGGCTGCTGGCGGAGGCCGCTCGCGGCCGACTTTGCGACCAGCAAAAATTGGTGCCCGACCTCTCACTGTTTCTTTTTTGGTTGGGAGGGGAAACCCCCTACTAAAATAGACTACAGAAGGAGAAAAACATCGGGTACCCTTATTCGAACCTCTCTACTGGAGGACCTAGTTTCACAGCGAAGACGAAAGGTTTCGCTCCCCAGTTGAGGAGGGCGGTTGGGTGCGTGTTCCGGGTTTGAGCCCGCCAGAAACTCCGCGTGAACGAAAGAGGCCGGGATCAGTTGCAGTGGGCAACACGCATCACTGGAGCACGAGGATTCAAGGTCAAACACCAACAGCACCGCCCAAAACCTGCAGGAGTGCCCTGTTTCCGCAGCGAAATCAGACATCAACAGTCTTCTATCCTTTCCAGAGCGGCTGAATGAACGCCTGATCGAAACCACTCCCATGCATTATTGACGGTGCATACTCAATGCAGCCACTGCATGTTGCCCATTGCAACTGATCCAGGCCGCTTTGGTGAATGCAGATTGACGTAGACTTTCGCAGCGTGGGTCCACGCACAGTCACGGAGGTGATATGAGGTCTGAGGTCTCTTAGTGTCTCATGAAAACACACATGGGGACTTGGCTACTGGCTTTTTCCTTCCAACGAGCGTTATCATGTTGCCCCGCCCCCCACCCTCGTTCCACACACACACACACACACACACAGCTCGAGCTGTGAAT